TAGTTATTGATTTTACAATAGGGTGCTTTGTACAAAAAACATTTTTTATAACATTTTTTTTTACTAGTAAGCTAGTTCAAAAAGTTCCATATGTGTTAATGCATTTGATAATCAATATTAGCTGAACAATTTTGGGGTAGTTTGAATACAAATCTACTTGTTCTCTAAATTTACCAGAAGATCTTAATAAAATTATTAAAGTAGCAAAGAAATGAATAAATAAAAATCTCATTTATTTCAGTGGTACGACTGACTGGACCAGAAATGGGCAAACTTTTATAACTGGGGGCCAAAAAGTAAAAATAAAAATGTACGATGAGCACAAAATTGCACACATTTTATGTTTTTCGTATCATACGCTTATTTTTTTTTATAAGATTATAACATAAAATCATGGTTTGTGGGACACATTTTAACCATACATGGACCGGCATACTAGACGCAGGGCAATTCATTATTTAGTAGTGACATATAGATTATCTATAGCATTAGTACCTAATAAATTATTACAAATATAAAATTTCATATTTATATATTTTAGAATAAAAACTATATTACTATTAAGAAGATACTAGATAGCAGTGTAGTGTAGATGACAATGTTTTTATAAAACAAATAGTTTATTATTATCAAATTTGTTCTGTCTGTTTCTTGTTTTTTTTTCCATATTGACAATAAATGTATTTTATGTGTATACATATAAGTTAATATTATTTTAAACATATATATTTGTAATAAAATGTAAAATAATATAACATTATATACAATATATACACACATAATAACAAATGTATTATGATAAAAACTAATTTTTTCTAATATTTATGGGGTTTAAAACAAATTGACGTGCTGTATAATATCTACAGTTATTTATCATATCTAAGTCTACAATATAGTTGGTATGTTCAATTTAAGCTTGCAAAATATAATATATATCCGATAAGTTTTATGTTGGATAAGTTTTAAATTAAATTTTATTTCAGAACAACGTCAAAACCAATATAGAGAAATGTGTAAAATATACAAAGAATTTATGTTACAATAAATTATAATGATACCTATTTTTGTAAAATGTATGGTACGAAAATGTTTTTAAAAAAATGTTCCGAAGTCAAATAAAATGATCATACGTAATATATATCTACCAACCGAAATAAATATTATAAAATTAAAACTTTTTAATGGTTATTCACATAATCAATATTACCTAAATACAATATACAGGGTGATTGACCTTATTCAAAATTCGAATGAGTAGTTCCTCAGTTATTTAAATTCTTATACTCCTTAAAAATGGTTTTACAAAATTCTAAAATGTATAATATTATGTTATATTTTATCTAGTATAATATATTATTACATTTTGACCAATTTTACAAATTGTAAATATTGTTAGATTATTAATAGGTACCCATAAATTGTTATCATTTTTAAATCATCTTATCAACCATATCTTTCAAACCCATTTATATGGACCTATTATATTCAGTACACTAATAACCCAAAAGTTACTAGTTCGATATTTGATTTTGATATGTCAACATTTTCAGAAAAATTATCAGTTAAGTAATTTACAGAAGAAAGAGGAGGGGGGTTCATTTGAATAACAAATGTCTGAAGTCCACACTCCTTATGCGGTAATTACAAAAAGTTCTAAAAATTTTAAAATTTAGTTATGAGGAAAAATTAAATTTAAAAATTCAAAAATTCAAATTTCGATTAGCTGCATTATTGCACAAAAAACAAATGGGAGTGATTGTGCATGGTGATTGGTGAATCACCGTGTACATTCATAATGAGACCTACACTTTTTGTGGTACAAATTTAGAAATAATGTCTTTCTAGTATTGCGAACTATACTTATACAGCAGTTAGTTATTAACGTGGTCTGTCACTTATACTCTCTCATTTCTCGGTTGCTATCTTTATTTGTAATTGCTGCCTCTTATCCGGTAGGTCACGGCTCATTAACTTAATGCCTGTAACCACGGTAACTATGTAGAGTTGACTCTTGTTTCATGTTTTAGAATCAGTTTACCTTATTCGGCTCATTCGTATACACACACACCAGGTAGTGATGAAGATTTTTTTGGCGGTTCTTCGCGAAATATAGTCATTATGTTTTATTAAAGTAGCAATTATAATTTATTGAGCGACCAAATATAGTTTTACGTGTATTAGCAAAGCAGCTTAATAGTTTTATAACGAAGTGTTTAATAGTAGTAAACATAATTTATTGGTTTATCATTTGTATCGTCATTCTGAAATATTCTGAAATGCCTATTCTGTTATCAGTGATATTTTTAGAACTAATTGACAAGAAATCATCAGTATTTCTATTTTTGTTTCATATCTATTCGAAGTTGTGATGAAAGTTATGAAGGAATTAAGTTAGCGTTTTGTTTGTACGTGTATGTATCTACTTCTAAAAGCAAGTTACGTTTAGTTTTTCTTGTAGATAATTAGACAATAATTTTGTAATGGTTAAGCGATTTTATATAATATATTATTACAAAATATTACTGTTAATTATTGTAGGAACTTAATCTTATGTGCAAAACGATTAAAAGCAGAAAAAATAATAACCACACAGAAAAGAAGTAAACATAGAAATGGATTAATAATTTATGGTTCTTTGTATGGATTTAGATTTTAGATATACGCATTGAAATTTAAGTCTTTGTCCACATATGTACATTGTACAGTATTTACGTTGACTCATTTCTGTTAAAATTAATAAAGGCAACAAGTTGCAATAGGTACCTGACACCTTTTGAAATTTTAATCAAAATTGAGTTATTCATTGATTTCAACTGAAAATATGGCGGGAAGTTCATTTTTGTAATTATAATAGTGATAAGTGCTAACATTACCTTAAAGTGTAGGTATACAAAATATAAATGTATTTTAAAAAGTAAGGTTTGGCAGTTTAGGCCACGTATTAATTCCAATCACATATTTCACTATATGATTAAGTATTATTTGTCATACACGTGGTTTAGGATTAAAATATTTTCTGTTTTATCATAAGGAGTTATCTGCATTACATTTTTACCGAATGTATTACATCCATTGATTTATTGTGACATAATGTTCATGTTCCATGTAAAATATGCGTATCAACGTATTTTTTTAAAAAAAACATATTTTTACCGATATGATTAATATTCCTGTTTAAAAAAATATTTAGTAGTATTTTTTTTGTAAATACATAAATACACAGTTGTATTGAACTTAAATAAGAATTATGACTCATTGTTCTTCAATTGTTGATCTATTTGCTGGTATAGTTAATATTGTTTTCTTTTTTACAACAGAAAAGTTATGGTAAAATAATTTAGGAAGAAAATACTATGAAATATGTATTGATGAAAATATTTTTTAAATATATAACTTTACCCATTTATTATTTTATAGGTAGTTAGGTATTAATTTTTGTGTCACTGGAATAATATTTAAGCAATAATGGTTTGTACTAAAGACTTAAGTTTTCCACAATTACTACTGGACCTCTCTCATGAAATGCAGTGTAATTATTATTGTAGTCTTTAATTCGGACAAAAATTGACCGCACTTTTGGTGATGAGTCATAACAGCCAGTAATTACTGTGAGCGCTTAATTCTGACCAGTGTCCAGAAGCATATCAGTGCCGAATGTCAACAATTAATTTCATGGTGAATTAAACAGGGTTGCCGAATTTAGTGCCATAATTATTTTATTGAATTTTCTAATGAAAATAATTTACATAACCCAATTTATTTAATTGTAGAAATAATCTATGTTTAAGGTCATATTCAGTGACCAGTATTTTTTGCTGATACGTAAATATGGTTTAGGTATACGTTTTCAGTTGACAATTTACACTTGCTTACAATTGTTTCATTTCCCTTGTGATTTATGGGATTAAGTATTCTAATTATTGAGGAAGTCATTAACTGAATGAAATAAGTTATAATAAATACCAATTTAAAATCTTGTATTTTATCCTTTGGATTTCGTTGTTTGTTTTCACGAAGGTAAAACACTTTTAAAATTTAACTGTAGTCATGTAGTCATACTTATTTACTAAAATGTAATCAATTTGAATTCATATTATTTTTCCTATTCTTTATGAATTTGTATTATTAAATTATTTATTAGGTATGAACTAGGTATTTTTGAGTTAAAATTGTTTTATGTCTGATGTTGAATATGTATATTTATTGCAATTTGAAAATTGAAGTTGTATATACTAATATGCTTATCTAAATTTGTACGTTTCTATTTATGTAAATATATTATGACCTTTGAAGTTATAAATACAGAAATAGTTGCTTATTTACAGTAGAAAGTGAACAGTTGTGTCTGGCGTCTGCTATATGATACTATTATTACGAGGCAACATATTTTTTTTAAGGATTTTTCTACTTGAAAACTTTTGCTTGAGCGATTCTTATGCGGATGTTTTTTCTTAGGTTATAGAAAATAAGTATAGTCAGAATATAAGTTTAATTATATGAATGCAGTGAACATAGGTTTAAAAAAAAAACTAAGTCGATACTGATATGTATTGATTTTATGTAACAAACAGACGATTATGTTGCAGTTGTTTTAATAATAACATTTTACATTTCGAATTAATACCCAGATATAATCTGAGTTCACATGTAATTTAATCGTATTGTCAACTTAAAACTATTTAATTTATTATTCAGTATTTTCTGATGTATCAAACATAAGGAAATAAATCGTGGAATGTAAAAGGAAATTTTTGCTATAAGAAGATGGAACTTATGTCACAATTCATGATAGACAAATATGTTACTCTACAAGAATGATAATAAAATAGTTATATTTGTTTTTATATAAAATATAGCGTTTTTAGTACTTTAATGACTTGCTATACCTAATTGTTATGTATAATAATTATTAATGATTATTTAATTTTTGTTACTACATTAACATGTACTTAAATCATCGAAAACAATTTGAAGGAACATATTATTTTGTATTTTTGTAGTTGCTGTAAACCAAAAATAATTCATGCACGAATTACTTTGACTTAAAACGCAAAATGACTACAGAAAGTCCTACGGGGATTTCAGCAGAATTTCAAAATCATTTGCGATCGGAATGTGAACACAAACTTAATGAAACAGTTCATACATATCCAAGTAAGCCATTATGAATTAATAAAAGTAAATAAATGTAGTATTTCAGTTAATTATGGACTATAATAATAAATAGTTTTTTTTTTGTAGTAAGTAAATATATTTTGCTTATAATTATTTAACATAGACAATGTTCTAATTTTTAATTACAAAAAAGACTACATATGTATAAATAAATAGAATAACAGTAAGTAATTTAAATTTCATGTGGTTATCAAAATGGATTTTGAATTATGTCTTTTGTCGTATAAGTCTAAATTGTCATTGTTTTCAATTTCACATGAACACTTTCATTTCATTATCAGGTGCAATCGAATTTCAGCATTTTAAGACCCTATATTTACTATGAGTGTGTGCAAGATGCTTTTAATAATGACGTCAGGCAAATTTAATTACAAGACTTACATGAATATACAATAATTTAGAAATTGCTAGAAGTATTTCTGAAACTTTATAATGATTATAACACGGTCTCGTACAATTCCATGTTACTTTTAAATAAAAATTTATATCTAAAGAATTATTTGTTTTGAGTAAATATTTTTCAAGCAATTATGTAACTAGTTTTTAAATTTATTCAAGAATTGTGTTTGAAAATACAATTTTTCAGTTTTTTTAAAAATATTTTATTATTTATTGTGTTGTAATTTATTGATAAAACGGAATCCATACATTTTGTTGAGTAATTTTTTTGCAGATTTTAAATTTACTAAAAATATCACAGTTCTATATCTTACAATTTGTGTGGTTTTTTTTATTTGAAATTATATTTCAAAAGATATTATATACTATTAAAGTACTATACCTTATTACTTACATAATAATTATATACTTATATTTTTGTACGTTTCAAACTTTCGAAACAAATAATACTTCATTTTCACACATAACCTATTTAATATTATTTATATAGTATAACTTATTTAATTAGAATAGTTATTACAACAAACACCTTTTATCACTGATGACAGTCAAGTCAGACGACTAGCCTACAGTAATAGTTAGGATTTTCGGGTGTCACTAATTGGACGGGTCATGCTTATAGAGTTCAGGCCGCATCAGTTGCGTTTATGGTGGTAACAAACACTGAATATATATTACTGGAAATTTATGTTTATAATGAATTCACGGTAATTTTGTCAACGTAATATTTACGAGTAGTACGAAGAATATTAGTTGAAATTAAAATTGTGAAGCATGTTCGTTCTTCAATTTAAATTTCACAAAAGCATTACTCAATCCTATATTTAAGTATTGTTGTTTGAAAGTATAACAATCTGAGTTCGAAATCGATAATTTTTATACCTATAACATGAAAAAAGGTTATATCTTATGTTTACTATTACATTTTTATTATAATTTAGTAAAAAAAAGTAAATATATAGTAGGTAAATATTTTTTAAACAAATATTTTTGCTGCGTGAAAATACTGACAAATGTTATTTTGCAAAATTGTAATGACAAATATTTCTATTCATTGAATGTATGTACCTATATATTCAATAGTTATCCTGAATACTATTTTAATTTGTTGAGTTATTATTTATTCTTATTATTTATTTTATAATACTGATTTTTAGAATTTTCAAATTTAATTAAGTAGCATATTTTAAAATTCTTGAGATTAATTGATCATCATTAATAATCTGTAAAAATTGCCTGAGTTTAATAAATACTAGATTTAATACGGCAATATTAAATATATTTTATATTTTTGTATACCATTTTAAGAATTATTATCCTTAATAAAAACATTTTAATAACTGGGATAACTATTAATTCAAATTTTGATCAAAATATCAAATAATAAAAAAATTATCCATTAAACAACTTACAGTAAAAATGGTGGGTTCTCATTTGAAAAACAGAAGTTTCTTTTGCCACAAGGTACTTCTTAAATACTAAAAACAAAATTTCAAGATTTTGATAACATGATCTTTGAGTATATTTAAACATTTCATATAAATAATATCAATAATAAGATCGATACGAATTTGAATTTTCACTATTAAAGGAATAATAGGAGTGGCAAAAGTCGGCAAATCATCCTGTATAATACATATATCTAATATTGATTATGTGAATAAACATTAAATTTAAAAAAAAAATAATTAGAAATTTAATTTTAAAACAACTATTTGGATAAGTATTTATTACGTTTGAACATTATTTTACAACGTTTTCGAGCAATACATTTTATCAATATAGGAATCATTATAATTTATCGTAACATAATAAATTCTTTGGGTATTTTACACATTTTTCTTTATTGCCTTTAATGTTTTTCTGTACTGGTATTTAAGTCTAAACTTATCCAACAAATAAAACTTATCGGATATATACGAGTATATCATATTTATGCAGCATAAATTAAAAATACCAACTATATTACTGTAGATTTAAATATGATCAATAATTTTAGATATCATACAGAACTTAAATTTGATTTAAAAAATATAAAAACTAGAACAATTTAGTTTTCATCATAATTTGTTATTGCGCATGGGTATTTTATTTATTAATTAACAATTTTAAATATAATTATTTTCGTTTGTTTTGTTCGTTTATTTATTTTTGTCTAAAAATATTATTATGATCAGGTTTATGTATCTAAATAATACTAAAATATAAATTATTATATTTCGAAACTAAGTATTTTAAACTGTTAAATATAAAATATAGAGTGTAAAAATATTAGAATTGTATACCTATGTCACTCTGCTAGTCAACTATAGTGAGCTTCAATTGTATCTCGACATTGATTAAATCGCTGTAATATATAAGATAAATTTCATTTAGAATAAATTTATAAACATTGCAGAGGTACCAACAATTATTTTAAATGAAGACGGTGTCAGCCTCTATTTTAAAGGATATTTTACAATTTATTAATTAAGTATGTAATTATTAGTTATTTATTTTTTATAAGTAATTTGTTTTTCTATAATCGTCGCATTTATTATGTAATAATTAATAATAATTATGATAATAAATAAATTTAAAAAAACGTACCACAGGACATAGTTATTTGATTTGTAGTACCTATACTGGTAAAAATCCATTAACATTAGTCTAAAATTCTAAATGTCTTGAAACTTGTAATGGGTATAGAAAATATTAATATAAAAATACTAATGAGGAAACGCTTCAGTTCTTATGGTTAATATTTTTCTAATTTTTTCTAATTAGATTAACATTACTAAAATCACTAGAGGAAAACTCATAATGTTCATCGAAATTTGAACTTTAAATGCTCATAAACATTTAACGTGGCTTTACACAACCCAACTGATTTAATTAATTATTAAATTGAGTATTTTATTTTATTGAATAATAAAATGTATTTATGTTATACTTAGCGTAATTTAATTCATTTCATTCATCCTTAAACTTTAATCGATTATTCTTAAACCATAATAATATTTTATAGGTAGTACGCATATGATATTTACACTATACAATACATTAGATTAGGTCTATATTTTTATAGTAATTGTAGTAGAATAAAAATTTAAAAAAATATAAAAGAACAGCGGGAGTAGCCGGGGCTAAGCGGCGACAGAATAGGGGTGTACCCGGCTCAATAGCCCATAGATTTCAATTCAGATAATAATTACACTACTACTTGATATGATTATTAGATTACCTTTTAGTTCATTTACCGATGTTATAATTTGAAATATTAAATCCACTTACCTTGTATTGATGTGGATCCTTGTTGTGGTGGTGGTAACGTCTCTGGTAGGTGTGGGTTGATGCGCGTTACTATTACTCTACGACTTTTATGATATTATGTTCTTTTTTCTAAATACAGTGCGTTTACTCTTAGCCTTTGTGGTGGAGTATAACCACGGTTATTTTTCTTACTTTAATTACGCTTAGAAAACTTTAATGCAGTGGATGGA